ATTTTTTGGTAAGTTTTTGTTTACAAACATGTAGAGCAATTTATTCAATTTATGTACATATGGATACATATAGTTCGTATTAATTGGGTATCAATAACAATGGGATGATCAGCTAAGTTCATTTGACTTGCAGTGTGGTTATTAGATTGTTGGTTGATTATCTTAAGTTCGATAGATTACTTTTATTAGACATAGCAGTATTCTGGAAATTAACTGCTCAATATAGTTTTAGGAAGTGTTTGAATTCATTAAGGCCAAATTAAATAGGAGCCATCACAAAAAATGACTCTAGATTTAGGATTTTACAAATGGCCATCATTTCATTGTCAATTATCATTTGCCATTGTTGTTCTTATTTACCAAATCAGCCTGCGTGCATAATATTAAAGGTGGAGAAATGCAAAAAGGTGTAGGATAAAGGAATGCTTAAATTTGCATCCCAATGCAAACATTAATTTTTATTTTTTTTTGTTTTCGATACATTTTAATACTATTGAATTTTATTATTAAAGTAGTTTTGTTTTGGTGGGTATAGTGGAATGTCAAAGACGTTACTATTACAAACTATTAAACTACAGTTTTCTTGTTTGTCCACGAGGTTGTTGTGAAGCATTTAGACCCCATCGGAACCACAGTAAGATACATTTGTAACTCTTTGGCTTTATGGATGATACATTGAACTACACTAAACTATATTGGATTAGAAAGAGGACCACAATAGGAATGTTTACATTTCTGCTTTTTAATTTTATCATAATATTGGGAGGGTGTTCTGGGAATAGTTATGGCCGTAGTGGTTGTGTTAAGAGCACAGCATGGATAAGCTAAAAATCATTAACAGACAAAAATCAAAAACAGTTAATTTTTTTCCCATTTTGGATGGATTAAATTAAAATTTTCAAAATGGATGAAAAACTACTGTAACAATTAAGAAAATATGTTAAAAGTTAATGTGCATTATGGTCACATTAAATCGATTATGGATAAGTATTAGTTTTTTTTTTTTTTAAATTTACTCTGGCTTAAGTTTATGAATTTTCCTATTACACTGTAGCTTAATTTTTATGTTTTAATGTATGGCCTTTCAAGAATAAATTGGTTATGCAACACATCATTGTAAAAATTAAAATAAAATAAAAACTCATAAGTCAATAGTTCACGTGCAACGCACGTGTGCACCAACTAGTAGGCTAAAATGCCCTCAACATTTTTCTCTTTACATATAGAGAAAATTTCATTTACACTTCATATAGTTAGGTCTAAATTCAATGACACCCCTCCCGATTCTAAAACTTTATTGCATACCCTTCTAGTTATACGTTCAAATCAACAATACCTCTTTAACAGTAACTTTTGCCAGTGCCAGTAGAAAAAATAATGATTTGACTAAATATTTTATGAAAATGCCAAAATTATGTGTTAAATAAATAGACTAAAATGCCCACAATTCTTTTCCCATTATATATGCCCTACCCAACCAGTAAGCGTGATTTTTATAAATTATCTCAATGAATTTTTATCATTTTAAAGCGTTGTATGATAACTTTATTACAATATTAGTCATTATATTATCACTCATTTAGTTATATAATTGAGTTTTTATAATTTTTATAGTTAAAAATAATTTTTTTATAATAAAACTTACAATTGTTTAAGTCAATATCAAAATCTCATCAATTTCTAATTATCTGTTATCGTTTGTCCTCCACAATGTCACATGAGCACTCTTTACACATCATTATTCATATATAAAATTTAAATATTATTTTATAAAATTTAATATTAATTGAATAAATTTGGTCTTAATTTGATAAATTTAAGTATTAATTTGGTATTTATATTTAATGTTGATTTGATAAAATTTAATATTAATTGAATAAATTAAAATGTTGCTTTAGTGAAATTGAATGTTTATTTGGTGTTAAATTAAATAACTAAATGTTAAATTAATGAAATTTAATATTCTATTTAATATATTAAATAATAACTTAAATAAATAATAATTTAATGCTAAATTAAAGAAATAATATTAATTTGATGAAATAAAATATTAAATTAATATAACTAAATACTAATTTGATAAAATTAAATATCAATTTGTATTGATTTGATGATAGGGAATGTTAATTTAGTTTAAATTAAATAAATGACATTAATTTGATAAAATTAAATATTAAATTGATGAATCTAAAGGTTAATATAATAGAATTAAAAGGGAGTGCATTGAAATTTCAGAATCAAGAGGAAANTAATGCTAAATTAAAGAAATAATATTAATTTGATGAAATAAAATATTAAATTAATATAACTAAATACTAATTTGATAAAATTAAATATCAATTTGTATTGATTTGATGATAGGGAATGTTAATTTAGTTTAAATTAAATAAATGACATTAATTTAATAAAATTAAATATTAAATTGATGAATCTAAAGGTTAATATAATAGAATTAAAAGGGAGTGCTTTGAAATTTCAGAATCAAGAGGAAGAATTGTTAAAGATAGGTTTATTTACAAGAGGTGTCGTCGAAGTTATATCTATTTATAAAAAGTGTAGATAAAATTTATCCTATAAAATATTCAGAGATATTTTTATTAAAAAAAAAATTGTTGTTAACACCGTAGCCCAACAAACATTGATAGGGGGTGACAGNAAATTGTTAAAGATAGGTTTATTTACAAGAGGTGTCGTCGAAGTTATATCTATTTATAAAAAGTGTAGATAAAATTTATCCTATAAAATATTCAAAGATATTTTTATTAAAAAAAAAAATTGTTGTTAACACCGTAGCCCAACAAACATTGATAGGGGGTGACAGTGAAGTTTAATTTGGACTTAAAAAAAAAAATTGAATTTGGACCTAATAACAAGGGATGTTGATGAAATTTTTCCTTCTTTTTTTAACAACGGGGTTGAATTTCTTCTATTTTTGTTATTACTTAAATTGTAAAAAAATAAATTAAAATGAATTGCCCTAATTTATTTTACCTTTCCCTTTTGTAGTGCTTTCGTTTTGCCCAAACTCTTGCCATGTTTTCATCCTTCTTGGTACATGGGTTTGCTATCAATATTAACAAAGACCCCTTCTTGGGTAGCCAGCTCCTCCAAGGTCTTTTTCATTTCCATTGAAGATACATCTATTCTACCACAGGTTTGTGTATGAAGTAAAAATGAATAGAGAATTGAACTCTCACTTGTCTGATCACACTTAAAGTTATAATGATATACCAAATTGCAGAAGTTATTAAGTATCATATGGAACATTTACATGTTCTATAAAAAAATAGTGTATTTATTGAAAGAAAAAAGTGAACAGTTCATATTAGTTTATTGAAAATGATGTTAAAAAAAAAGAAACTCAACCTTGTTTTCTCTTCATTGCAGATTAAAAACAAACACAATATATACATACATAGTGGGATTGAACCCGGCACGAAGGGACCAACACAGCGTCACAACCGAACTTCCTCAAATGCTCTAAAATCTTGAGATTATTATTAGCTTTAATTGCGTATCCGATTATCGAATTCAAGCCCTCTAAAGCCTCCCTGAAAGCCTCAAAGTTTCTTGTGATTTGGGACTTACTGTACAGATAAAACGATTTTCTTTCGACAGTTTTCATGACATCTTGAACCTTAAGATCTTCGTAGCACAAATACCCATCTTTAGATTTACAGGAGAAGTGAATTTGNTAGCTTTAATTGCGTATCCGATTATCGAATTCAAGCCCTCTAAAGCCTCCCTGAAAGTCTCAAAGTTTCTTGTGATTTGGGACTTACTGTACAGATAAAACGATTTTCTTTCGACAACTTCCATGACATCTTGAACCTTAAGACCTGCGTAGCACAAATACCCATCTTTAGATTTACAGGAGAAGTGAATTTGGAGAGAGTTTTGAGAGGTATAAAAAATGATCAAATCTGTTCATTGTGCAAAAGAACAACAACGTCGATTAAGGTGGTCTAATAGTGGTACCGATCTTATTCCTCATATAGAAGTTCAGAATTTGAGTTTTTGAAGTCCCTATTAGGATTCAGTGGTTGGTTATTATGCTGGCCTTTCTAGATTTGGTCTCGAAAGGTGTTTTAGATGCAGTCAGAAACCTTATGATCCCACAAATAAGGGGTAATCGGTTGGTTANGGTTATTATGCTGGCCTTTCTAGATTTGGTCTCGAAAGGTGTTTTAGATGCAGTCAGGAACCTTATGATCCCACAAATAAGGGGTAATCGATTGGTTGTTAAGCGCTCTTCCTTGTCTCACTCTTTTTTAAAATTAGCATAAAAGAACGACAAAACGACGCCGTACCATTAGGCAGAGGAGCCGCCCCTAATTCCCATCGACAAAACCTAAAACCCCTTGACTGTGTTACTTCGGCAACAAATACAATTATGTATCGTTGGAGTATAAATATTGGATCTTTTGGTCCTTGTTCGTTTAGTCTCCCCTTCCTTCTCGCTCAACCCAGAGGTCGCTCTCTCTTTTCCTCTACCTCTGTTGTGCGATGGCGTGAACCCAGGCAAGAGCTTCGACGAAGAAGAGGATTCTTCTTGTCTTATCGACTGCTGTCCAACGAAGATCCAGATCTCCTCCATCGATTTCTCCCTCGCTGTGAAGGTAAGTGTAACCAGTCTATTAGAATAGATCTATGTATATATATACATAGATGTGTAAATTGANGTGAAGGTAAGTGTAACCAGTCTATTAGAATAGATCTATGTATATATATACATAGATCTGTAAATTGATCTCTTGTATAAGCATACATATACAGTTCTATGTATATATACNTACACGTAATCACACACACAAACACACTACCATAATCAGATCTGTAAATTGGTCTCTTGTATAAGCATACATATATAGTTCTATGTATATATATATACATAGAACTATATATGTATGCTTATACAAGAGACCAATTTACAGATCTGATTATGGTAGTGTGTTTGTGTGTGTGATTACGTGTATGTGTGGGTATGTGTTTTGTGTGCAGATCTATCACAGACCCCCATCAAATTTTTTTTTAATTTTCCCAAAAAAAAAAAAAAAAACTATACTTTGTCATTATTTTTTTGAAGAGTCTGTCTGTTTGTGTGTGTGTGTGTTCTATGTGTTTTGGTCTTCAGAACAATCTCAGTACATATGGAATTTCTTTAACTAACGTTTTTGGTCTGTGTGTCTTGTTTATTTGTTTATCTCAGTACACTTAAATATGTATTATTGTTTATTTGTCTTTGGTTTGTTATGGGTGCAAGATCAACGAGGTTGCTTGCTGAATGGAAGGGTTTGCTGGTTTGTGATTTTTCAAGAAGCCTTGCTGCAATTCTATGGGTGGGTGAATGTTTTGAAGGATTAAAGCCATAACTTGTGATGTAAATAGGGATTGATCATTGTCTTTTCTCTTTGAAGCTTGTAAGCTTTGATTGATTTATTCAATAATTTTTTTTCTGTTTTTTGTTTAAAAAAAAAAAAGGTGAAGTATGAACTAGATTTTGGAAGTAGCAGCGGAGAACTGGATTTTGCTTCACACTGATTGGTTTGTATGAGGTATTACATTTTTAAGATATATCTTGAAGTAGTTACTAAACATATTTTTTGTTTTTATTCTCATAATTTGATAAGCACAAATGACTCCTAAACATGTTTTATGTTTCAGTGTTTACCACAAAATAGAGACAAAAATTGTCTCTATTTTTGATTTTTTTGAAGCCGCGAAAACAAAAACGTTACTAAATGACCCCTACGTTTTTTGTGTAACAAAACAATTCTTTTCAGACCCCAAAGACTCTTAGTCCAGCTGTCATGTTTGCTTTCCCAATGGCTGCTTCTCATCTTCCCTCTCATTCTACTCCTTTCTCAAAATCACTGAAACACCCTTCAAACCCATTTGTCTGTATTTGTTCGCTCCTTTCTCAAAATCATGGCATGCTCATCAAACCCAGCCCAAGAACAATAAACCTCAGGGCTATACTGTACCAAAACCCTACAAAAACCTCAACTTCAGACGCACAAATCCAGAACTTTCAGCATTGTTTCACCAAATCTGAAGATGGGTATTTGTGCTGTGAAGGCCTTAAGGTTCAAGATGTCATGAAAATTGTTGAAAGAAGTCCATTTTATCTGTACAGTAAGTCTCAAATCACAAGAAACTTTGAGGCTTATGGAGAGGCTTTGGAGGGCTTGAATTCGATAATCGCGTATGCGATTAAAGCTAATAATAATCTCAAGATTTTAGAGCATTTGAGGAAGTTGGGTTGTGGCGCTGTGTTGGTCAGTGGTAACGAGCTTAAATTGGCCCTTTGTGCCGGGTTCAATCCCACCAGGTATGTTTGTATTGTGTTTGGTTTTAATCTGCTATGAAGAGAGAACAAAATTGAATTCCTTTTTTTAAAGTCATATCCAATAAACTAATATGAACTGTTGACCTTTTTCTTTCAATAAATACTCTATTGTTTTATAGGAATTTGTAAATATTCTATATGAAACTTAATAACTTCTGCAATTTGGTATTTCATTATAGCTTTAAGTGTGATCCGACAAGTGAGAGCTCAATACTCTATTCCTTTTAACTTCATACATAAACCTGTNGTGTGATCCGACAAGTGAGAGCTCAATACTCTACATAAATCTGTGGTAGAACAGGTGTATCTTTAATGGAAATGGAAAGACCTTGGAGGATCTAGTGCTGGCTGCCCAAGAAGGGGTCTTTGTTAATATTGATAGTGAATTTGATTTGGATAATATCGTAGCTGCTGCAAGGATTGCTGGGAAGAAGGTTAATGCACTTCTTCGTATCAATCCAGATGTGGATCCTCAGGTGTGTAGCTGCGACACCAAATGCATGTGATGCAATAATGTAACCTTATGTGACTTTCCGTTATCTTGATATTAAGAAGGGAAGCTGTTGTGATGGGTATATTGGCATTTTGTTAATGGTTGATAACAAAAAATATGAGAAAAATCTAATCAATAGTAATCACATTGATGGATGATTTTTGAATCTCCTAAAGTTATTAATTATTATAGGATCATCTATACTTTCATTATTGCCTTCAGTCATGTTAAATCAGAGTTAAATTGAAAAAACCACGTTAATTTCCCATGGTTTCAAGGATACATCAGCTAATGAGATACTTGGGGTGTGACATTCTTGGGAGAAAAATCATGGTGAGCATTAGAAACTAGAAAGGCTTTCTAGCAGAATTCTTTTTTTGGCTTTTACCTCATAAGTTCAGCCCAGCCGGTGATCTGGAAGCATGCCATTGCCGTAAACCACCGTTGTCACAACCCAGCGCCACCCCCCCACCACCTGCTGCACATAACATCACCTACCATGTAGTTAATCACCTTGGCGTTGCACAACCATTCCTTGCTCAAATGGCCCTACCCCACCTCACCCAACTTAAACAACCAATGGGTTCCATCACACATCCATCACCTCTGGTGTGAGGTTTCAATTCTTTGAAATAAGGAGGTCCTTGATCCAATCAATGTACTTCTTGGGCATTTGCACCTTTTTTAGTTTTGACATCCCACAAATTTCTTGTTGGAATTATTGGATATTGTACAGAAGATTAGCAAAACTTTCAAGTCTCATAGCTTTGACGTTTAATTTTTCATTGTCTGCATGTGTATATTAGGTTCATCCTTATGTTGCCACCGGTAACAAGAACTCCAAATTTGGTATCAGAAATGAGAAGTTGCAATGGTTTCTAGATGCTGTGAAGGAATATTCTAATGAATTGAAGCTTGTGGGGGTCCATTGTCATCTTGGTTCTACCATTACCAAGGTATTATACCAAAACACTGTTTTCTACTTTTCATTTTTCCAATCAACTTTAAAAAGATTTGTATATCAAAACAATATTCTCTACAGTTCATTGTTCTTATGCAACTGTAAAACTAATATTTGAATTTTGCAGAATTTTGTGCCTTAGGCTGAAATTTCTGTTGCGACATTGTTGAATGTGTATACATGCATAGAGAAGTCCCCAAGCAATATGAAATGTTATTTACGAAGAATGATTTGCCATTTTTGCGTATTGTGCATGTGGTGGTTTTCCAGCACTTCATTTTTTAATTTTTTAGGGGTATGGGGTGGATTTGATTAATATTCTTTATAATGCTGATTATCATAAACTCTAGAAGCTTGTCGATTGCTAAAACTCTGATGCAGTGAGCCGTCAATTCTTGTTTGTGGACAGTTCCTTGCTATCCTTTGGTCATCCTTTCATTTTTTACCCATTTTTCTTTCTTATTTTTTTCTCCTCTATGTTGATTCTCCACCAGTTCATCTTTCTTTCTGAGTTTCTGCATCCATATAATTTGATCATCAACATTCTGAAATTTTTTACTTTNTCCTTTCATTTTTTACCCATTTTTCTTTCTTATTTTTTTCTCCTCTATGTTGATTCTCCACCAGTTCATCTTTCTTTCTGAGTTTATGCATCCATATAATTTGATCATCAACATTCTGAAATTTTTTACTTTAATGGAATATGTATGTTTATCACAACCTTTATTCTCAATAATATAATGCTTTTTTTTTTGTGTGTTCTACACAAACCTAAAGGTACTATTGTTCTCTCCAGGTAGACATTTTCAAAGATGCTGCGGTAATAATGGTGAACTACATTGACCAAATTCGAGCCCAAGGCTTTGAAATTGATTACTTTAACATGGGAGGTGGTCTGGGGATTGATTATTATCATAATGGAGCCATCCTTCCCACCCCCAGAGATCTTATTGACACTGTAAGAACCCTGATTTAATTGTGGCATATGGTCGTATGTGAATCATGGGGCACAGCAAGTATGGTTGTTATTCACATGCAGCTAGCCTTATTCTGCACTACCTTTGTAGGGGAGAGTTCCTTGATATATCAAGGACATCTACTAACTTTTGTGATTTCTGGAGATGTGATGTCTGATCTTCTAAAATGTTCCCAAAATAACAATACCACTTGCAATCACTACAACTTAGTACGTTTATAGAATAGTATGTTACCATAAACAGCCATCAACCGCTGTCTCTGTTATATCACTTCTTCCATATTTCCTGTTAGTAATGATATTATTACTTGATACCACCATTTGGTAACTATGAGGATCATGACGCTGAATCGTGTACAATAAACGGTNGTTTAAGGTCTATTCCATGATCCTATTTATTTTGACACATATTTCAATTTTTCTTTTCTCTTTCTCTCCTTATAATATATCGTTTATCTAGAGAAATATATCCACGAGCCTTAATTATAGTAGAACCCCGTATGGTGGCCTGAACACGTGCTTGGAATAGCGATAAAATGAGTCCCATGTAACATCTTTCTTGATCTAAAACTCCCTCTTGGCCCACCAAANTTTTGGACATTGTGGTGCTTAATTGAAATTGTTGTGTTTCTCCGGGTTTGCTCAGCACTAACAGAAGTGCTTATATGGCTATTGAATTCTTGCCTCCTAATGGGGTATGATATTAAGAAAATCAGCTGCATTGGTACTTTGGACCATGTGAAGGTGCTATTAACATTTTTTATGGGTGTTTGCTGTAGGTCAGAGAGCTGGTGCTTTCATGTAATCTCAATCTCATCATAGAACCTGGGAGATCACTTATTGCAAATACTTGCTGCTTAGTTAATCGTGTCACTGGAGTCAAAACAAATGGGACAAAAAATTTCATTGTGATCAAGGCAGCATGTCAGAACTTATCCGCCCTAGTCTCTATGTTGCTTATCAAGTAAGTTTCTAATACATAAGCTACTCTGTGAATTTGCCTTTGTGGATCAGAACATTGTTGTCAGACAATCCAAGCCCTGCTCCTCCTTTATGTCATATCCAAAATCAACTTTGCGTCATAGACCCTTCTTTTTTTTAATCACTGGATTTTTTGTGTTGCAATTAAATGTGTTTATTGGAATAGAAGTCTAATAATTTTTCCTTGCAGTTGATCAAGTAGTCGGTAAACTACTTTTGACTAACTATTTGTGATGACTGCTACCTTAACATGTGAAATGTGAGATCCCATTACAATAAATTGTTCCTGTTGTGAACAGCAGGAATAGTAGTTATTATTCCCTTGCAAGTTTGTATATGTAGTCTAATTAACCCTCCCCGTTTCTCGCACTTGCACGTAATCATTCTCTTCTTTTCATAAACTCTTTTAGCTCTTGGTCATTGTTTGACTTTTGAATGCAGCACATAGCGCTGGTTTCTCCTTCACAACCCAATGATGAGATTTCTACTTTTGATATTGTGGCTCCGGTCTGCGAGTCGACAGATTNGTAGAGTTACAATCACTTTGGAGATAGGGGCGAGCAGCGAGCCAGCCCTTATATAGGGTTCCAAACCTGTGCTTCAACCATTCTTAGTTATTTCCCTGGTGTATTTATATGATTGATTAGTCAATAATAGAATTATCTGTTTTGTTATTCTCTCATGGTATCAGAGCAAAACCAGAGATAACATATTCCAATATATTTTTTTTTCTCTCCTTCCCTTCCCTTCCTTTCTTTAATCTCGAACAGCCATGGCTAACTCTTCACCCTTCATTCTTAACACCAATGAATCCCACAACACCCTTATTAGCATAAATGTTGCTGCCCAACCCCTCTAAACTTCACTTCCAGCAACTACCTCTCATGGAAACTGCAATTTCACACTCTCTTCATTGGCTATGATCTCTTAGGCTATGTCGATGGCTCAAAGCCATGTCTCTCAGCCACTCTCACACAAAATGACAACTAGATCAAACCCTGCTCACATCCTCTGGATCCGACTGGACCAGTTAAGTGGGTGTGAAAGATGGAGGAAGAGAGGAAGGAGAGGAGAGGAGAGAGAGGCTGCCTCTCAAGGGTTAGAGCCCAAGGATATATATCAATTTTTTTCCAATGTCATTTCTTGTGAGAATATAAGGGTATTTATAGATAAAGGTCACACAATTGTGGTCTAGGTATATGCGATGCAACCCAATAAATCAGTGATAAGTGTCTCAAGTATCAATTAAGTAATGGATCATACCTTGTCGCGAGAACCCTATCGCAAGACCTTTACCTCTGAACCTCGCCGCCACGGGAACTTTGTCTCGGGACCCTGATTATACTTGTTTAAGGTCTATTCCATGATCCTATTTATTTTGACACATATTTCAATTTTTCTTTTCTCTTTCTCTCCTTATAATATATCGTTTATCTAGAGAAATATATCCACGAGCCTTAATTATAGTAGAACCCCGTATGGTGGCCTGAACACGTGCTTGGAATAGCGATAAAATGAGTCCCATGTAACATCTTTCTTGATCTAAAACTCCCTCTTGGCCCACCAAACCACAACTTTCTTAGAATCTCCCAGAGTGACATGTTGACGTGGCCATCTATGTGATGGTGTTACAATATTTATATTGATCAAAATTCGATTTAAATCCAATTCGCTGACATGCCTATGTATGATGTCCACTAAATCAACTAAGCAACCAACGATGTTTTAGTGAGATCTTTAAAACATACAGATATCAAGTCACTAATGGGCAGATTGTTTTTTAATTAGAGACAAACTTAAAGGTTACAAAAGATAATTGGTGGACCCTTGTTTACCTAATTTTCTTGGTTGTGTTTAATGGAACGACTTGATAGATATAGTTACTAATTAAAATGAGATAATTGAAAGTTAAGGGAATGTTTTGAACTTGGAGTAGATTACAAGTTATCTACTATAATTTGTTCCAAAATTAATCCCACATTTAATCATTGAAGCAACCTAAGAGAAAAGAATAATGTTATTTGTGTCTAAAAGTTTAATCTAATTTGCTGATTTAATGAAGTAATTTCATTGTAATCATTGGATTAACATCAAGTTTCAATGTTTAATGGAACTTCCATTTAATCTAATGGTTGTAGTGAATTAGGTCAGCAAATTAGATCTCAATAGCATTGTTCAAAAAAAAAATAAACACATTTGTTTTTTTAATATAATAGATTACACTTTAACCTTTTTAATTATAAACTTAATATTACTTCACTCTTTAAATTATTAAATTTTTCACATTATCCTTTCAACTACTTGAATTAAGGCTCCATTTTGGTAATTGTATATTTTTTTTCTTTTCTATTTTTTTTTTCATTTAAGTTGTTTTGAAAATAATCCCCAATTTTGTAAAAAGAAAATTGATGTTTTCAAAAACCAAAAAAAAAAGAGAAACATAAGCGAGGGAGGAGGACTTTAGTGAGGTCCACCCATCGAACCCCATTAGTAACAAAAAATCATATTTTTTGGAGGAACTATTTAAACCCCACATTTTTATCCTCTCTCTCTCTATTGCAAAACAACACCGGTGTTATTCTCATTGTCATATCTATTCTTTGTCACTGCTATCTTCTCCGTCTTTACTTGATCCCTACCTCTCAAGCTTAGATTCAACATATATGTGTGTGTGTGAGTTTTGTGTATAGATTTATTTTTTTTTTGATATTTCTCGAAACTTACTTTTAAATTATTTGAGTTCTNTTAAGGAAGTAAGTACTGAGAATTTGAATTGATGTTTTTAGGTTGAAGAAGATGGATCAATCCCAAAAATCCGCCACGGGGAAACATTTGAAGACCATTTGTGATTCTTTGAGGGTCTTTAGTTTATAAAATGTTGCAGACTCTTCCCATTGTTGCCATGCCAGGGTTCTAGGCTAGGACTCTTTGCTTTTAATTGATGCACAGCTGCTATCTGTCTGCCTGGATGGATATTGTGTATCCAAATGTGTTTTGATGTCTGAATTATGTATTATACGTTTTTGTAGAGTTACAATCACTTTGGAGATAGGGGCGAGCAGCGAGCCAGCCCTTATATAGGGTTCCAAACCTGTGCTTCAACCATTCTTAGTTATTTCCCTGGTGTATTTATATGATTGATTAGTCAATAATAGAATTATCAGTTTTGTTATTATCTCATGGTATCAGAGCAAAACCAGAGATAACATATTCCAATATATTTTTTTTATTCTCTCCTTCCCTTCCCTTCCTTTCTTTAATCTCGAACAGCCATGGCTAACTCTTCACCCTTCATTCTTAACACCAATGAATCCCACAACACCCTTATTAGCATAAATGTTGCTGCCCAACCCCTCTAAACTTCACTTCCAGCAACTACCTCTCATGGAAACTGCAATTTCACACTCTCTTCATTGGCTATGATCTCTTAGGCTATGTCGATGGCTCAAAGCCATGTCTCTCAGCCACTCTCACACAAAATGACAACTAGATCAAACCCTGCTCACATCCTCTGGATCCGACTGGACCAGTTAAGTGGGTGTGAAAGATGGAGGAAGAGAGGAAGGAGAGGAGAGGAGAGAGAGGCTGCCTCTCAAGGGTTAGAGCCCAAGGATATATATCAATTTTTTTCCAATGTCATTTCTTGTGAGAATATAAGGGTATTTATAGATAAAGGTCACACAATTGTGGTCTAGGTATATGCGATGCAACCCAATAAATCAGTGATAAGTGTCTCAAGTATCAATTAAGTAATGGATCATACCTTGTCGCGAGAACCCTATCGCAAGACCTTTACCTCTGAACCTCGCCGCCACGGGAACTTTGTCTCGGGACCCTGATTATACTTGTTTAAGGTCTATTCCATGATCCTATTTATTTTGACACATATTTCAATTTTTCTTTTCTCTTTCTCTCCTTATAATATATCGTTTATCTAGAGAAATATATCCACGAGCCTTAATTATAGTAGAACCCCGTATGGTGGCCTGAACACGTGCTTGGAATAGCGATAAAATGAGTCCCATGTAACATCTTTCTTGATCTAAAACTCCCTCTTGGCCCACCAAACCACAACTTTCTTAGAATCTCCCAGAGTGACATGTTGACGTGGCCATCTATGTGATGGTGTTACAATATTTATATTGATCAAAATTCGATTTAAATCCAATTCGCTGACATGCCTATGTATGATGTCCACTAAATCAACTAAGCAACCAACGATGTTTTAGTGAGATCTTTAAAACATACAGATATCAAGTCACTAATGGGCAGATTGTTTTTTAATTAGAGACAAACTTAAAGGTTACAAAAGATAATTGGTGGACCCTTGTTTACCTAATTTTCTTGGTTGTGTTTAATGGAACGACTTGATAGATATAGTTACTAATTAAAATGAGATAATTGAAAGTTAAGGGAATGTTTTGAACTTGGAGTAGATTACAAGTTATCTACTATAATTTGTTCCAAAATTAATCCCACATTTAATCATTGAAGCAACCTAAGAGAAAAGAATAATGTTATTTGTGTCTAAAAGTTTAATCTAATTTGCTGACTTAATGAAGTAATTTCATTGTAATAATTGGATTAACATCAAGTTTCAATGTTTAATGGAACTTCCATTTAATCTAATGGTTGTAGTGAATTAGGTCAGCAAATTAGATCCCAATAGCATTGTTCAAAGAAAAAATAAACACATTTGTTTTTTTAATATAATAGATTACACTTTAACCTTTTTAATTATAAACTTAATTTTACTTTACTCTTTAAATTATTAAATTTTTCACATTATCCTTTCAACTACTTGAATTAAGGCTCCATTTTGGTAATCGTATATTTTTTTTTGTTTTCTATTTTTTTTTTTCATTTAAGTTGTTTTGAAAATAAGCCCCAATTTTGTAAATAGAAAATTGATGTTTTCAAAAACTAAAAAAAAAAAGGGAAACATAAGCGAGGGAGGAGGACTTTAGTGAGGTCCACCCATCGAACCCTATTAGTAAAAAAAATCATATTTTTTAGAGGAACTATTTAAACCCCACATTTTTATCCTCTCTCTCTCTCTCTCTCTATTGCAAAACAACACCGGTGTTATTCTCATTGTCATATCTATTCTTTGTCACCGCTATCTTCTCCGTCTTTACTTCATCCCTACCTCTCAAGCTTAGATTCAACATATATGTGTGTGTGTGAGTTTTGTGTATAGATTTTTTTTTTTTTTATATTTCTCGAAACTTACTTTTAAATTATTTGAGTTTTTTTTTTTTTTTTGATAAATTTGTGAGTTTTTTTTGTGTGATGGTTTGGTGACTTTATATTGGATAAATACTATGTGGACAAATACTAGTTTTATCATCCTAAACACATACTATTTTAAGGACAAATCGAAAAAGATGAAGTTTGTAAGTTCGAAAGCAGTAAATCATCCTATTTTTATCATCAATTTCAATTCAAGATTCTATTGCAATTATAAACACAACACATGTTTATACTTTATCATCGAGCTCATGTATGTGTACCAGATAAAATTCATTACTGTAAATGCGTGTGGACAACTTCCTCAAGCTCTAATTAACTCCCGACCAGCACTCCTAAGTGCTTGGAGTGGTTCTACCGAATCCCGACCAACAACCACCAATTTCCTTCTTTTGCTTTCACCTGAGTTTCTTGCATCACCAAATTTCTCCTTATTAGCTAATTCTTCAAATTGGTTCTGAAGGAGAGTTGAAACACCAGCCTGAGAAAGAAAGTCAATGGTTAAAGTCAAGTCGATTGTTAAATGTACTAAGCCAGTTAAGCAGGAGTACAACCAGTTCCCTGATCCAGACACATGAAGAGGAGAGAGGGAAGGAGAAATGACAAAATTGTGAAGTCAACTGTTATGCCATGATATTGTCAGAGTGAAGAAAAAGGCTTTTAAAGTAATTACCCCTGCCAAAAACCAATGAGAAAATGACTTGGGTTGCAATGGCCGTGAAAGTAATGTATGGAGCTCCTGCAGTTTCATACATATGGAACGTTTTAGGATGATGCAAAAATTAAGTCACGATTGCAACTGTGCTAAACAAGAGAAGTGGTTTCAGTTAAACGTAATAAAACATAATGAGTGAGAGGAGATCTGCTGCAGTTTCTTCAAATGAATAGAACTGGCCTTCTTTTGCTTGTAACTGTTCACTCTCTCCTCCTCGCTGTCATTGTCCTCCAAAACTAAATCAACTGATTCAGCATTCCGCTCAAACCAGCTTTTCTTTGCTCTTTCCTACCAGAAGTCAAGATTTAAGCATCAAGGACACAGTCTACTAGAATCTAGCTATTGACTGGCTGATAACACAATCAATGTAATGGAAAGGACAACCAGTAAGAAATTTTATTAGTTTGGGTCACATATGGTAGAGTCTGAAGCAAATTTAGCAGATCAATGCTAATAGCCCTAAGATTTAGAGTGACGATACAGCAAAGTTTATCAGCAACATAACACGACAAACGTCCGAGGATCTCACAGCATGCATTATTTCTTATATTTGCAGGTTTCAAGGGAAATTGTTAATGTTTTAATATTTTTCCTTTTACTACTAGTTGGTTCAATAATATAGATGGGTATTTTTGGGAAGTTTAGCTACAATTTAATGTAAGGGTTACAAATCAGACAATTCTAGTGCTTTCCAGTCACTTATGGTGTTTTTTGTTAAGACATGCTGAAGAGAGAAACTGTTGCTAGGCTTTCTCTTGTTTCCTTGCTACTGCTAATTGACGTCAGGGAGATTTTGTCTTGCTTCTCTCATCCAGCTATTGTGCTATGAACTATTTTACTCCTGTTTCCTTGTCGCATCCATAGGCTTATGGAATTGAAGGGGAATCAGCGAATTTAATGAATAAAGGAACATATATGAAAAAAGCCACAAGAAATTCAACAGAAATAATAGCAATCAGAACATGAAGAAATTACACAAGAAGATTTTTATCTATATAAAAGCGATGGACCAGGGGGGGGGGGAATGGAAGCAAAGATACATCAGCACTGGCATCGACCCACCGAGCAATTAAAAGGAAAAAACTATATGTCGTTCAGGTGTTGGAGGACAGGCATCAGGAGATGGGTGGTGTATAGCCATCGACATTTAACAATACAACAGCATGCCACTACCATTGACAAAGGATCGAAACAGACCCCCACCACGGAATTCACATTTTAAAGCTTGTTAATCAATAGAGCTCATCTCGCATTTGGCTTGATAAGCTAATTAGAATCCCAGACTATTAGGAAAACTGAGCTATTCAAGTTTGCCTCGTGATTGGTTTGGTTTGAGGCTCACTTAAAATCAGCTCAACACATATATAACTGCTTCAGCTGCATTTGGGAGCTTGCTAAAATTTCGAACAGCACCTAAGCAACCTACTTCTCGGTTCAGCTTGGTTCATGTTCACCGCAACTTCATAGGTGTTGTGATTTCTACAAGCTAATTTGCTCCCTTTGAGAATCAGCATGGGAAGAAAATTAGAGAACAATATTCGAGGCAGGAGAACGACACGAATGCTTGGGTTCCTCTTCAACACTTCTATCCACTTGGTGCTTCCTTTTGCTTGGGTCTTTGCTGGGCTTTAGTTTTTCGTTTTCCATCTTTATCTTTGTCTTTGATTTTTTTTTTCCGGAAAGTTCTTTCTTGTCTTTTAACTCTGCTGATTTTTTTATTGTTTGCGGAGAAACTTTGGGGGCTCCTTGTATTCTCATCTTCTTCTTCAATGTATCATCATCTCTCTCTAGACTTGCATGTATTATTCTGTTTCAAGTATTAATTTTTACGGAAAGTTAAGTATACAAGCAGTCCTTGTTTGTTTCCCAAACCAGAAAACAGCAAACCATTGGCAAAGCAAAAACAACTGAATGTGCAATCAACCAGATTCACAGACGTGAGAACATTCACTAGCTTGAAACATGTAGTAAAGCTGATAAGACCGAGTTCCTTTATTTCAATCGCAGTGCTAATCCATACAGAAAGCAGAGGGGCAAAATTACTTCTGCATAAAAAATCAACCTCTATCCAAGCTGAAATATGCAGTGCAAAATTCTCCTTTTTTAAGTATGCTAGACTAAGGAGTACTACTTTATGTTGTTCTGGGTTATGTAAACTGGAAACAATGTTTGAAATTTCTGAATCCTTTTGGTCTATTTAAGACCCAAATCAATTGCTATTATGGAGCCACCAGATTTTAGTATGAAGCTTATTAATATATAATGACATCTCTTCATTTTGTTGTTTCTTGAAAACAAATTTTCAACTCTAAACAATGCATAAATCATTTCTTACATAATAAAATTAGACCGCATCCCCGTAACCGTATCCAAATCAAGATTCATATCTTTGTATCCACTATTTTTTGACTTGAGATGTCAGACACCTAATTTAAACCCACAACCGCGTCCGAGTAACATAGGTCGTATGTGAATCATGGGGCACATCAAATATGGTTGTTATTCACATGCAGCTAGCCTTATTCTGCACTACCCTTATAGGGGAGAGTTCCTTGATATATCAAGGACATCTACTAACTTTTGTGATTTCTGGAGATGTGATGTCTGATCTTCTAAAATGTTTCCAAAATAACCATACCACTTGCAATCACTACAACTTAGTGCGTTTATAGAATAGTATGTTACCATAAACAGCCATCAACCGCTGTCTCTGTTATATCACTTCTTCCATATTTCCTGTTAGTAATGATATTATTACTTGATACCACCATTTGGTAACTATGAAGATCATGACGCTGAATCGCGTACAATAAACGGCTGCTATGAGTATGTCTTATTACTGGCCAATAGACTCATTGACGAATGGTAATAAACTTTTGGACATTGTGGTGCTTAATTGAAATTGTTGTGTTTCTCCGGGTTTGCTCAGCAATAACAGAAGTGCTTATATGGCTATTGAATTCTTGCCTCCTGATGGGGTATGATACTAAGAAAATCAGCAGCATCGGTACTTTGGACCATGTGAAGGTGCTATTAACATTTTTTTATGAGTGTTTGCTGTAGGTCGGAGAGCTGTGCTTTCACGTAATCTCAATCTTATCATGAACCTGGGAGATCACTTATTGCAAAAACTTGCTGCTTAGTTAATCGTGTCACTGGAGTCAAAATTGAATGTTTATCAGATGAAATTGAATTTTAATTGGTTAAAATGAATGTTGATTTGATGAATTTAATGTTTATTGTATGAAATTACATTTAACTTTAGGAATTGCTTGGATAAATTGAATCTCTATTGGATGATTTTGAATGTTAATTTGATGATTGAGTGTTAATTTGATGAATTTGAATATAAATAGGATGAACTGAATGTTAATTTGATGAATTTAATATTAATTTGATGAATTAAATGTTAATTTAATGAATTAAATTTTAATTTGATTAATTTAATGTTAAATAATTTGATGAATTGAATGATTATTAGATGAAATTGAATATTAATTTGGTGTTGATGTGTTGAATTAAATATTAATTTGAATGTTTATTAGATGAAATTGATTTTTAATTGGTTAAAATGAATGTTAATTTGATGAATTAAATGTTTATTGTATGAAATTATATTTTACTTTGGTATTGATTTGATAAATTAAATCTTTATTAGATGATTTTGGATGTTAATTATTGATTTGAGTGTTAATTAGATGAATTCGAATATAAATTGAATGAATTAAATGTTAATTTGGTGTTAATTTGATGAATTGAGTGTTAATTGAATGAAATTAAAGGTTAATTTGATGAATTTGATCTTAACTAGTTGAATTTAAAAGTTAACTAGTTGAATTTGAAAGTCACTTTGTCCAAACGGACTTTTTTCAAGGCAACAAAATGCAAAGCTCAAATGGCCAATCACCAATGAAATATAACTCATTTTGCTTATTCGATTTTTTTTTTTTAATTTCTGTAGATCAATGGTGGTGTCTGTCAACTATATTTAGTGGGGTCTACCAGCTATAATGCATGTATATACATGTGTAGATCAGTAGATGTATGTGCATGATTTAGGTGATTCTTCATTGCAGTAAAAATCTCTCAATTTACATGACAATATTATTAGGCCCTTCAGGCTATCACATTTCCAACAGACATTAACCAGCTACTCTTCCCAATTCCCAACAGCTATTAACTAGCCAAAGTTACTCTTCCCAAGCCCAACAACTTCCAAAAAGTAATTAACGTAATTTGCTTAGCCAATATTTCGTAGGATCTGTTAATTTTTTTTAAAATTCTTTTATTCAAACTTCATTAAAGTTAGCAGCTGAATTAGATGGTAATTAAAGTATTTTTGAGTGAAGTGCAGGTTTTTGGGAGGTAATTGAGTGCAGTTGTATACTTAAAAATCGTACTTGATTTGCTCAATATGACCGTAATTGAAATTTGTACCGAGTCTAACAAAAAACATGAAAAGAGGGGTTTTGGTCAAAATATTATGAACTAAATATAGATAAAAGCTAAAAAATATAAGAGGAAGTCCAAAGAAGAAGGACCAAAAAAAAAAAACACAAGAACAGAGAAACGTGAGCTTTCAGCCTTCCATCAAAAGTGTTATGGATTGTACTATTACAAAGAGAAGGATTATTATATGATTCATTATCCTTAGAAACCTATCATCCTTAAAAACATCCCAATCAACAAGGAGACCGAACAAGAACAACCACCAGAGGCCGGAGTCGAAGAGGCTACTACCTTCTTCACATGTGATTTTGCAAAATCTGCATCCAAATGGCTAACCCACGACTTTGAAGCAGCGTAAAAGAAAGAAGAACATCATAGCAGGAGCATTGTGACTAAATTTCATCTTTTGGGTTTGACTTGGTTACATCTGCTCGGTGCTCGCCGGAACATCGCCGGGAAATAGGCCAGCAACTTAGGTATTTTTTGATTTTTGAGTTGATTTCTCTCATTTGTTTCCATCATTGATAGATTTCTGCACATCTCTAGTTTCAATCTTCATTGTTATTCACTTCTTC